CTTGAAACTTCCTACAAGTTTTGAGGTCTTGGACAATTCAAAGTCTGTTGTCACTTGCTGTTTTGGCAGGGCAGGATGCTAGAAGATGTCATGCAGTGATAACTGCAAAAATATCTGTTTCACATCAGTGGCAAGCAAGAGCTCTCTATCTTCTGTTGTGTTTTGCTACATAGGCAAAGCCATCTGCCACATGAAGTGTCCTGCTTCATTGAGTCATTTCCTTATGGAACAAATACCTTGAGTTCCCCAGTGTGCTGCGCATCCTTGCATGTCCATCTTCATTAGGATTTGAGTAGGTTCAGCCTCCACTTGAAAGCCTGCCCAGCAGCTGTTTTGGAGCAGAGTGTGCACAAAAGCACTTGATGTTAACCTGCATCCATGTGTGGGCTGTGTCAAACTGGCTGGGCGGTCAGGTTTTTTGCTGTACTTTGGTTATTAAAGCTGTGTGGTATGTTTAAAGCATGGCATTCTGTAGAAGTGGACATTGGCAGCTTATCTAGCTGTTGTTTTATCCCTGAAGGTGGCTACAGAGCTGAATCTAGGCTTCATGGCTGTTGCTCAAACTGCACTGCTACGTATGCTGATGGTCTTTCCTGGTGGATATATTATATTGCCTCTCTGCTTATGCTGCCTGCGTATGATGCAAATAGCAGCTGAAAAGCTGCTTTTACAGTGCAGCTTACTTCTGTGCTAGTTAGAAGCTTTTGCCAGGGTTGTGTTTCTCCGCTTTCCCTGTTACAGCCATCTGTAATGCTTCCTTCATGCCCCTGGTTTGGGAAGGCTTCAGAAGCTTCAACACAAAACAGCTTCTGTTACAACAGAGTGGAGTCTCTGAATCATAGAATCGACTAGGTTGGAAAAGACCTTTAAGATCATCAAGTCCAACCATTACCCCAGCACTGCCAAGCGCATCACTAAACCATGACACTAAGGGTCCCCAGGTCCCTCAGCCGTTCCTAATCAGACTTGTGCTCCAGACCCTTCACCAGCTCCCTTGTTCTTCTCTGGACCTGCTCCAGCACCTCAATGTCTCTCTTAAGCTTCTTTGTGATCCGAAGTTGCTGTCAGTAGCAGTGGTATTGAGTTTAATGAGTCAGCTCTTAGACCAGGCTTGCAGTACCTATGTGTTGGCTTCCTCTCCAGGTACAGCCTCTTCTCTCCCATCTCCTCTCCTCCACTGCATGAAGACTTTTAAATAGGAGGTGCTTGACAAAGGAATACAGATGCACTTGAATACCCTGTACATTGTATTTGCCTTCCTGTGGAAAGCCCATCCCTCTTTGACTCTTTCTGACTGGTTGTAATGTACTTTGCTTGGACCTTTTTTGGGAAGTAGTCTCAGGCTTTAGAAAAACCAGACCATTATGCATACCTGAGCTCCACTTAAATTACACTAGGGCCTCATAAATCGGCTAGGAGCAAGGATCATGCGTGGTGAGCATGGTGAGAGTGGATTAAGGGAACAGCACTCATGAGATATGTATGACTCCTATGGCAGTGCAGGTCCAAGCTAAGATCCTGCTGTTGGCTTTGGAGTTCATCTTCCCTGTGACTGCATCTTTTGGGTACCAGTATTCTTGTCCAGTCCTCCCTTGTTCACGTGTCTGAGCCAGTTCAGGTTAGTAATCGTCTCCCCAGTAATGTGTCGTTCCAGGGACATGCTGAGAGTTGCTTGGGTATGGTACTTTAAATATTGCTTGAACTGACTTTTTAACTGCCTGTCTACATGAGGGAGGAGAACAAGGAGGGGGGGATGTGGACTCACATTAGGAAAGGTGATGTCTTCACTGGTGAACGTCAGGAAAGAGATTGTGGGTAGAGCTACTGAGTGTTTGCCCCATTTGTTTGGGCACCTTTTACATGGCATATTTGGGAGTGCCTTCCTGTCCTTTGGCCTGATGCTCCTGCTGGAGTGGTGGGGATTGCCCTGCACATCTTGATCTTTTCAGGGTATAGTGATAACAGAGGAGCTCCACACGATGTATGGTCTCTTGTCCTCTCCTCCTTGTTCTCGTCTACTGGACCAAAGCTCACACTAGGAAGAGCTGGTAACAGGACTAATGGTGCCTTCTGGCCGAGAAAGCAGACAGAGGTCCTAATGGGAGGATATAGGTGGTGAGGAAAGACCTCGCTCTAAACTCCCTAGGTCTGTTGTATTTTACAAGGCAGCTGGTGAAGCGGGAAGGTGTCTGCTACACCACCAGTGTGTCCACCTGAATGATGAACCAGTGGGATCCTACCTCTGCCTATGGCTACTTACTCCTAGAAGGCTGCTGAAGAGGTGAAAAATGAGTACTGGTTCTGGAGTCACTAAAGCAACTTACTTTTCAGGGGTTTTCTTGGGAATCCCATCATGCTCTGGTTATTGTTTAAAGCACAGTATTTAAGCTGAATGGATTGCTTGCACATGCAGAAGGATGGGAATGTGGGTTATGGTTTAGCCTTTAGTGTGGACTGCAGGCTGGGGCTCTTGGTTTGGGTGAGACTTCAGACATCTTCAGCTTGGGGACCATAGTGTTGTTTTCTTGAGTGGACTGAGAAGACTTCTCAGACCCCATCAAAGATGGCTGGTGCAGTCGGCAGTCAAGTTCAGATCCTCATCCTTGCTCTTCTGTCTGTCTCACTCCCCTGTTGTAACAACAGCTTTGTGAGTAGAGATTTTTAAGGCAGATGTTTTCTGTGTGTCTTGTGAGCAGCAGAAGACAAGCATGCTTTTGAGGTGGGGAAATACTCTGCATTTTGCGGGCAATTTGAGGATTTTTGGGAAGTGTGTGAAGGACAGCAGTCTGCACATCAAAAAGGGCAGTTGTATTAGAGGGACTCAGATGGCTGTGAGTACCCATTGAGTACTGCACAGAGCACCCAGGTGCCCACTCCATGGGTAGACGTGCGCACACGGTGAGATGCAGCACTCAAGACATAGCCATCAAAGCCTTTTGCTGTGTCTGAGTCAGAGTCCTTGAGACAGCAAGTCTTGCTCTGTTTTAAAATACTCCTTTGCTAAGTCACTGTGAAAGAGCCTGGAAAAGACAAATAACCCTTTATTTATTTATTTATTTTAAAAAGAACGCTGTCGGGATGGTGACATTCACATTTATTTTGGCCAGCGTAGCTCTTTCGAGTAACTTCAACGTAGCTCTCCCCCCACTTCTGGGCTGTGTTTTTTTGGCTTGCATTTAACAAAGTGCAATTGAGTCTGAACACTTGGCCCGTCCCAATGCGGTGCATGACTCCAAGTATCCTGGTACAGCAGAAACGTGTGCTTTTGTGGGCGAGGAGGGAGGGGGGAATGGATATATCACTGCGTTTCTCCTCTTTCCGCCTTTTTCTGTTGGAGGAGCCACCTGTTAGCATTACATCAGCGGCTCCCAGGAACTCTTCTCCTACCAAAAGGCCTTACACAGAGTAGTTCTACTTGTATTGTTTGTGCTCAAAGAGCTGATGTCATGCCAGCTGATGTCATTGTGTGCTCTGTGCGATCGCTATGGGAACGGGGCAGGTGGGGAGCCTGAGGCTGATGTAATTGCGGAATGAGGTGTAGAAAGAAGGTCTGGTCCTGGTGTTTCAGCTCTGCCGAGCTGGCAAAAGGAGTTGGGGGGGGAAATGCTGATTTAAAAAGCCAGCAAGATGTGCAATAGAGCCAGGGAGGCAGGAGCCAAAAGAGTAAAGAAGTGACTTCTCCCTCCCCGCTCAGATCCATTTCCCAATCCATATTAATGTCCTAAAAATAACTCTTGCTAGATATTTTCAGGCAATGAGAGCAGTAAAAGGAGAGCTGTTTGCCACATGTGAAGTGAGCACCTCAGTTGCTGTTGGGTTAGGAGAAGAGGTTTTCTTTTGTTCTCCTGCACAAATGCATATGTGCTGTTCCCTGGAGCGATGCTGGTGTGAGCTGTGCCCACCTGTCATAGAATCATGGAATGGTTTTGGGTTGTAAAGGACCATTTAGTTCCAACTCCCTTTGGGGGTGCCCTGCAGGGCTGCTCCTGGCAGGCAGGTAGGTCTGCTGTGGAGAGGGAAAGCTAAAAGCCTGTCCCAGCTGGCTCGCTGTGCTGCTTTGTTGTGATGCTAGCCCGTTCACTTGTGGGTTTGGTGATTTCCTTCTTTGAAAATGCCTTTTGTCCCATCTTTTTGCCTCTCCCACAGCCTCGTAGGTGAGGCAGCCTCAGCACACAGATCATAGAGTCATAGACTGGTTTGTGTTGGAAGGGACCTTAAAGCTCATCCAGCTCCAACCCCCCTGCCACGGGCAGGGACACCTTCCACTCGAGCAGGTTGCTCCAAGCCCCTGTGTCCAACCTGGCCTTGAACACTGCCAGGGACGGGGCAGCCACAGCTCCTCTGGGCAACCTTTGCAAGGGCCTCAGCACCCTCGTAATGAAGAATTTTTTCCTAATCACACAACACTTTGGGTTGGAAAGGGCCTTAAGATCATCCAGTTCCAACCCCCTGCCATGGGCAGGGGCACCTTCCACTAGACCATGTCCTACAAAGCCCTTTCCAACCTGGCCTTCAACACTGCCAGGGATGGAGCATTCACCACTTCTTTGGGCAACCCATTCCAGTGCCTCAGCACCCTCACTGTAAAGAACTTCTTCCTTAGATCTAACCTGAACTTCCCCTGTTTCAGTTTGAACCCATTGCTCCTTGTCCTATCACTACAGTCCCTGATGAAGAGCCATTAACCTAAATCTCAATCTCTGCCTAACCTAAACTCCCCTCTGTCATCTCAAAGCCATTCCCCCGGTCCTGTCCGATGTTGCACAAAGGTGTGTTTGCCTCTTCCTTGGCACCACCAGCCTCGTGGCGGGGAGGACAATGGGTGCTGCTGATTCATGCCACCCATATTGCTGTTGGCTGTGCCCAGCACCAGTTACTGTGACAGTGGTAGTGGGGACACTAGAGCCAGCTCCAGTCCTGTCCTTTGATGGAAGATGTCCCCAAAGTACCACTGACCTCGGGGTGTGTAACCAACATATCTGCTTGGTCTCTCTTCCCAGGAGGACTCAGCGGCTTCAAGCAGAACCACGAAAACCTCTGCGATAACTCCCTCCAGCTCCAAGAGTGCCCGGAGGGGGGAGGCGGGGTCGGTGCATCCGCCGTGCCCCCCACGCTACCTCAGTCCATCCCCACCACGCCGGACATCGAGAACGCTGAGCTCACCCCCATCCTGCCCTTCCTCTTCCTCGGAAACGAGCACGATGCTCAGGACTTGGAGAAGATGCAGAGGATGAACATCGGCTACGTGATCAACGTGACCACCCACCTGCCCCTGTACCACTACGAGAAAGGCATGTTCAACTACAAGCGGCTCCCGGCCACTGACAGCAACAAGCAGAATCTCAGGCAGTATTTTGAAGAGGCTTTCGAGTTCATTGGTAATTACCCTTCACTGGAAGTACTTTCGGTGTCTTTCTTTTTTCACCTGTTGTAAGGATCTAGAGTGAATTTCATGTTTCATTTACTACCCTGAAGGCTCTGTGAGGCCAGATTTGCTTTTCTTCAGGTTGTCAGAAATGCTGATCGGCACCTGACGTTTCTCCTTGTTCTCATCTCTGGCATATCTAGTTAAGTAGTCTGGGGGTACATCATCAATAGTGATGCCTACCTCCAGGCTTCCAAATTCATGAAACACCAGGAAACTGACACTTTTCTCATCCACTCTTCTTGGTTCCTTTGCATTCTTAGTTCTCATGGTGGCTTCCAGGCCGTTTTTCATACTAACCATTCTTAATAGTGGCTGAGTCTTTCTTAACTTAATTGCATGAGAAAACTGACAAACTTTCACACTTCGCTTGTTTCTACCATTAGATTTATAACTCCAGAGTGTGTGTGTGAGTGGATTGTGATGAAAACTTGTATTAATAAACCCCTAGACCCTGTAGGCTGTGTGAGAGAGTTCACCACAGACGTGCAGCTTGCTGGGGAGGTTGCTGAAGAAACAACGCAGCAATGTTGCCCATGTTGCTCTGAACCTCACTGCGATCCACACAGCACAACCCTCACCAACTTTAGGGGTACATTTGTCTCTGGTTGGTCACCTAAAACCAGGTGGCCTCTTTAAGCAAGGCTCGTCAGTGAGGACATCAGTTCGTGATACTGAAAGCTTTTGAGGACATTCCGTTGCCCCTCTGTATGTTTTTGTGGGCACAGCTTTTGCACTAGTCCATGTCCACTTGTGCTTCCCCAGCACAAGTATGTGTCCTGAGAGGTTTTCTGAAATACGTGAGTTTTAGAATATAAAGTTGATATATAAGTTAAATGTCAGCATATGTATTTGTTCTTCCTTCCTTCCTTCCTTGAGCTGAGGCTTGGCTAACCTCTTTACCAATACTTCAGGCTTGATGGTGGAGGGCTAAACTAAGGAAGTGTGCTGTGATGTATCACAGCTTAGCTGACCCAATGTTGAAGTGGATGCAGAGTTGTCTTCCTCCCTGCCCTCAGACCATTAATGTTTATGGCACTTGAGTCAGCGTGTGGGTACAGGGCTCCAGAAACTCAAACCTGCTTGCGCTGTCGGGCTCAGCAAGGATTGTGCCCCAGCTGTGGGACTGGGTCCCAGGGCAGGAGGTCCAAGCTCAGCATATTCTTCTGAGCCCATCTGCCCCTGCCATATGCCTGGGCAGGGGATCTCTGCTCTCAAGCAGACAGCTTGCCACAGCTCTGGCTGTGTTTGGGTTGGCAGGGGGTCATTGTGCACTGGTGCACACAGTCTGAAGCCATGCTACTTCAGTGAAGGTGACCAGGCAAATCACTGCTGACACTGCAGCTCAGATGGGGTGCAGCATTGAAGCTTGAGTCTTACCACTGAGAGCTTCTACCAGGAGCCCTTGGGCTTGTCCTCTACAGTGTAGAGGACCAAAGGATCTCTACTTAAAAACAGATCTTCTCTAGTGTTCCTACCACAACCTTGGCTTTACCAGTAGTGCTGATTGCCATGTTCACAGGGAGGGTGAACACCCCTTTTTGGGTGAAGAGAAGCCCTCTCTGAGGGCAGGGGAGAGGGAACCTCATTTTGATCCTTTGGGCAGAAAAGCTGGGTAAAGAAGTTCAGTAAAACCTTAAACTTTGAATTCAATGAGATGGGGAGATGCAATAGGCTAAGCTTACATAAAGAAACTCTAAAGCTCTCTTGACGTCCTTTGGGGGTCCTATGAACTGCAGGATTAGAGCTCTTGAAACCACTAGAAGATAGTGCTTGGCTTATGACCTTACCAAGGGCAGAGAAAGCAGCCTTGCTCTGTAAAGGTTTAGAAAGTGTTTCAAACCCCATTTTACTTTCCATTTTAATAATTACAGCTTGAGGGTCTGTCTGTGTTTTTAATAAACAAATATTTCTCCATTGAGAGTTTTTCCTCCGTAGCAAATCGAGCCAGCTGGGGAAGTAACTAGTCAAAGCTTTCCCTTCCTCAGGGTAAACTTTAAATTGCATTTGAGAAGATTTGGAAATGTTCAAACAGCAGATCCTTGGCCTCTGTTCTTTAAATACGCCTTGAAACAACCACAACCAAACCCAGGTTTAGCTCAGACTAAAGCCATAGGAAGTGAAGTCATCAAAAACTCTTTGGGAAAGTGTGTCAAAATGCGTTCGAGAGTTTCAGCTTCCTGAAATAGTAACTGACAAAACTGTCTAGAGGGAAGTTGGCTTCATTTACGCTTTCACAATGCAGGTTGAACATGTGGCGCTCAGGATGAACCACACTCTTGGTGGGGTGGGGTTCATGCCAAAACTTGCAAACTAAATTCATGCTTCTCCTGTAGATTAAAACAAAAGAAATGAAGTGTCACATCTTGAAAGTTTTATCTCCTGTGGGAGATACCTAAAGCAAGCTGTGGAAGATGAGAATGGTGTGGAGTAACTCTTCTCCTTCTTGTGTCCCCTTAGCACATAGTTCCAGGGGCTCTGTCCTCCCTAATCCTGCCCAGGTTGCATACCTCTAAGTGATGTGTTATGGTAAAGAGCTTGTGTGCGCATGGTTGTGTGTATCTAGCTTCTGCTTTTGCAGAGACATCACAGCAGAGTGCCCCATTGAGGCTGCTTCAAGAGTAGCTTTGCAAAAGGCTCAAAGAACAACAGGGCTTTGAAACAGGAATTGAACCTGAAAATACCTGGTTTTTGAAAAGGTAGTGTCCAAGTAATGCAGTGGCATTGTGACAGGGGTGGAGACTGAGCCTGAGCTGCCTCATCATAGGCTTTCACCTATGTCGAGCTGCTCATTCTCCATGGCAGCACACATGAGCATCTCAGCAGTGCCTCTCAATGTGCAGTTTGCCTAATAAAGAGGTAAAAGGGAACGTGAGGACTTTCAGTGTTACTGGCCTGTGTGCTTCACATGCAGTAACTCTGAAGCCCCAAAGGAAGATGGGCTGGAAGGGAAGGGAAGG